ACTGATGCCTAGAGATGGGTATCAGTTAAAATGTCCTATTAATCAGGGTTTCACAAATCACCCAAATCCCATGGCAGCATTCAAATGTCTTCTAGTGAATGTCCCTGAAAGGTTAAACCATTTCAGAGTCATTCCAAGCACATAACCAAAGAAACAGCTGAGGGTAGGCAGAAACAAACAAAATAAAACAAGAAAATGAAGAATTTTATTATAAATAAAAGAAGCAAAGTAATTTTCTTAATTTTAAGAGACTTAAGATTGATAGTTTTAACTACCAGAATCACAGTGTGCAAGCGATCAAACTTCCAACAAATAGATTTATTCCCCCTGAAACCACATCCTGAATCATAAATTACATTCAGTGGTGCAAACCAGGCATCATGGCACAGCAATGACTTTAACCCATCTGAAATACCTCTGCACAGTCCAAAATAAATAGATTAATCAGCTGCAGGCTTTCCTAAACGAAAGACACTTCAACAGGTTTACAAGCCCAAACACAGTCTTAGAGCAGGAGGAGTAATTTCCTCTAGGTTCACCCACATGAAAACCAAGGAGCATCAGAAGAACATGAAAAATGCTTCCTCCTGCTCCATCGGGATGCACTCTGCATTCTCTCCTCTTCTTATGCAAGGAGCCCAGTAAGTTTCCTCAGAGGAACCCTTTCACATCTTGGGTCATCACTGCATCCCCTCCCTGCTCCTTTCCAGCTCAAACACCTTTTATTTTAATTTATGAATGGGACCACCACACATCACATTCCAGAAAGAGATGGGAATGTTTTAAGTTTTGCTTTTTTTCTGCTTCCCTAACAGTTTTAGCAACCAGTTTAGCATTTCTGACCACTGACCTTTCCACAGAGCTCGCTCACGTGCCGCGACAATCCAAAGAAACACGTGTAAAATTACAATGCTTCCTTCAGATGTGTTAGCCTGGATTTACCTCCATGCACTTTTTCTGATGTTTTACCACTTCCCTACTCGGCACAAGGACCCTCAATAATCCTTTGCTGTTGCTTCTAGGGATTCAGCCCCACAGTCCACAGGGAACTTCTTTGCCTCAGCTAGCTAAACTAACTAAAGTAAAAGGACAGCTCTGTCCTGCTGTCTGTCCATCCACAGACACCAGAGTCCAGGAGCAGAAATGCAGAGGAGTGAGTGCAGTGTCTGAAAACAAACTGCTGCTTCTTCACTCTTTGGAACAACTCTTAAAGGTGCAAAAATTATTATTCAGCATAAGCAGAACAGATGATTAGGGATAAAAGCATCATGTAGTCAACCCAGGACACAGGGTCAGCATCAAATGCCATTTGCAAATGGCACCAACACAGCCACCCCTGCCCACATGCTCACCGGTCCCTGCAGAGAGCTCCAGCAGATCCCAGCCATCATTCCCCTCTGCAGGAACTCAGCAGATCCCAGCCATCATTCCTCCCTCAGGAACTCAGCAGATCCCAGCCATCATTCCCCTCTGCAGGAACTCAGCAGATCCCAGCCATCATTCCTCCCTCAGGAACTCAGCAGATCCCAGCCATCATTCCCCTCTGCAGGAACTCAGCAGATCCCAGCCATCATTCCTCCCTCAGGAACTCAGCAGATCCCAGCCATCATTCCTCTCTGCAGGAACTCAGCAGATCCCAGCCATCATTCCTCCCTCAGGAACTCAGCAGATCCCAGCCATCATTCCTCCCTCAGGAACTCAGCAGATCCCAGCCATCATTCCTCCCTCAGGAACTCAGCAGATCCCAGCCATCATTCCCCTCTGCAGGAACTCAGCAGATCCCAGCCATCATTCCTCCCTCAGGAACTCAGCAGATCCCAGCCATCATTCCTCCCCTCAGGAACTCAGCAGATCCCAGCCATCATTCCTCCCTCAGGAACTCAGCAGATCCCAGCCATCATTCCTCCCTCAGGAACTCAGCAGATCCCAGCCATCATTCCCCTCTGCAGGAACTCAGCAGATCCCAGCCATCATTCCCCTCTGCAGGAACTCAGCAGATCCCAGCCATCATTCCTCCCTCAGGAACTCAGCAGATCCCAGCCATCATTCCCCTCTGCAGGAACTCAGCAGATCCCAGCCATCATTCCTCCCTCAGGAACTCAGCAGATCCCAGCCATCATTCCCCTCTGCAGGAACTCAGCAGATCCCAGCCATCATTCCCCTCTGCAGGAACTCAGCAGATCCCAGCCATCATTCCCCTCTGCAGGAACTCAGCAGATCCCAGCCACCATTCCTCCCTCAGGAACTCAGCAGATCCCAGCCATCATTCCTCCCCTCAGGAACTCAGCAGATCCCAGCCATCATTCCCCTCTGCAGGAACTCAGCAGATCCCAGCCATCATTCCCCTCTGCAGGAACTCAGCAGATCCCAGCCATCATTCCTCCCTCAGGAACTCAGCAGATCCCAGCCATCATTCCCCTCTGCAGGAACTCAGCAGATCCCAGCCATCATTCCCCTCTGCAGGAACTCAGCAGATCCCAGCCACCATTCCTCCCTCAGGAACTCAGCAGATCCCAGCCATCATTCCCCCATCAGGAACTCAGCAGATCCCAGCCATCATTCCTCCCTCAGGAACTCAGCAGATCCCAGCCACCATTCCTCCCTCAGGAACTGTGCTGTCTCTCCCCTTGCCCATCACATTTCAGCACTCAATTCTGCTGCTCAGAACAGTTCCTACCCAGTGCCCTGGCACAGACATCAGGCCTACTGGCAACAACACTGTGGATTATCAGGTTCTTTGTCAAATACAAGGTAGTGGACACAAGAGCTGTAATAAACTGTGCTGGCCCTCAGCTGGGCATGCCTGTAGGAGCCAAGATAATTTCTAGATGTCTCAGTACTGCAAGATACAAAGTGAGTGATAATGTCTTCAGCTACCGCTGTGCCTTCTCTTTGTTTGATTAAAAAATAATATAGAAGGAAAGATTTGATAAGCTTGTTTCTCCAGGGAAAAGAAAGGGTCAGAAACATGCACTTGATAGAGGAGCCTGCATTCAGCAAGCATCCTGGCTGTGGGAAAAAAGGACAGACCACAGAAAGAAAGCATCACAAAAGCAGCAGCACTATGCAAAGCAAGGCTTGATATAAAGAGGATTGATGGAGCGTCATCTGACCCCAAGCATTCCAAAAAATGCTGTCATGTAGCATTACAAAACAATTCTGTTTCAGGGCATATGCAGAAGAGAAGGCATTTGTGGTAAACCAGCCTTTTAACAACACACTTAAGATGCACTCCATTTATCACAGTCACAAACTCATATGACATCCAGAGAATCTCAGAAACACTGGAACGAGACCAACCATTATTCAAATCCAATCAGTGCACCTATTTCAAAGAAGAAATCATCAGTTAAATCTTTCTGGACTTAAACCCTGAATTTAATTATTAAAAAAACAAAAATCAGTGTGATATTATGTAACACCTAACATCATATATATTGTCACATATAAGAGAAGTCAGAGCATATCTTGCTTTAGAAATCATGCACTGAAAATTTTATTTTTAGAATTTGAGGTCTGAGTGGTCCCACAACAGTCACGTCCATTTTGCCCAGGAACAAGCAAATGTGATGATTCTAGAGATCTGCCTAGTCCAGTACCCCATCAGTGACAGTGAGTGACAGCAAGTGCCCAGAGAAGGCTCTGAGACAAATGTAAATACATGGATATGCTTCCTCAGGATATTCCCCCAGCCTGCGATGATTTGTTCTCCCACTAACTCATAAGGTTGCAATTTGTATCTGCATATTTTATAGTCTTTGATGGATTTCAACTCCCAAGAACGTGTACAGCAGATTTCAAACCCATGTACAATGCTTATACCCACAGTGCCCTGTGGGAAGAAGTTTTGTACTCTGTGTGAAGCAGCAGCTCCTGGTGCCCTCCCTGTCCCACTGATCCTAATTAGCTCCTTATGCTTAAGGTGGAAGAGAGCAATTAGCTCTGCACACACTTTTCCCACTCCAGCCATCTTTTGAACTCTTGGGCAGATACTTTTTGATCTGACAACCTGCCATTTTCCATTGTGTCAGCTGATCTGCAATCCTGTCTATCAACACCCCAATCTAAAACCACACACTCCCCTCTGTCCTGAAAAGAAAAAAAAATCAAATACTCTGGGCTAAAAAAACCCTCTCCTGAGTTAAGACAGACACAAAGTGGTGATACAGCAATTTTATTACTGCTCTGTCATCTCAACAGTTTCTTTTACTTTTTCTCCACCCACAGGTATTGTGGATTCTCTGGCAGCCTTCTCTCCCCTTGCTGCCTGGAAAGAATCACTAGTTTTTTATGCCTGCATCTTCATTGTTCTCCTTGTGCCAGGATGTTGGTACTCAGATTCACCTTCCACATCTACATTACCTAAACCTCCTTTATTTATGCCCCACCAGTGCTCTGGGTGCTTCCCAGTGTCTCCCCATCCTTGTACAGCAAATACCAGGCACCCTTCCTTCATATCACCTGCTTTCCTCCACAGCCAGCCTCCCACAGCCAGGCTGTTCTGCCATCAAATCTTGGGCTCAGTCTCTTCCCTCACTTCACAGGTTTCAAATTCCTCTTCTTCCTTCCCCATCAGACATTTCAAAGACTCCTAATTCAATGAAAGATGACAAGCTCTGGCCTCTTTCCCTGTATATACTTCATTTTCTCACTGTGACCATCACCACTGCTTTCAGCCTGCTGCATCCATCCCCTCTGGGGGCTGCCATGACTCCTCCTCTTTCTCTTTTCTTTCTCTTCTCTCCTCTGCAGTGCCTGTGCTTTGAAGCCTGCCCTTCCAGGAGAACACTGGTTTTGTTTGATCTCTCTTTGTGTTTGTAGGAGCACTGGGCAGGCTGTGGACACAAAGCCCCAGGGAGCTGCAGCCCTGGCACCGTGACTGCAGCAAGGGTGGCACAGGGCAGCCACAGGGCCCTGCCCTAGACAGGCCATGGACAGAGAGCTGAAAAGTGCAGGATTGAACCATCTGCAGTGGTGATAAACAGCACCCCAGCCCTTACCTTCTCCCACCAGGCAGCCTTTCTCTGAGCCACGAGCTGATGCAGCTGCTCCTGCAGAGCCAGCAGGTCCCTGGATAACCTGTCCATTTGCCCAGCCAGCCTGGCAGCCCAGGGGCAGCAGGAGGTCACCTCTGGCAGCCTTCTTTTCTCCACATCAGCATCCCGGGACTCACACATATTTCCCTCCTCAACCATGTCATCCAACACAGTTTCCTAAACAAAAAACAATAAAAGTTACTTTTCAGCAGGAGCTAAAATGGTTCCCCCCATCCTTGTGGTAATTCTTAGCTAGGAATTCACTGCTGCCATCTCAATCTACAGTTGCTCCACAATTTCAGAGTTATTTTAAGAGAGAACCCCCTCAGTTCACTATAACATATTTCCAAGTTAACAGAAAACTTATGTTGCTAACCTAGCTTATTTTAGAAAGCACTGCACAGTCAGCTACTCTGCACTGCACTAAAGCATAAAGTAACACTCCTGAGATGGAGATGATCAGCACTGCAGCAGCTCTAGACATGCCCTTCCTCTCAAATTCTGAGCTTGGATGCACTCCTAGGGCTTTTGGTAGGTAACAAAGTGATGAGCAGGGAGGTACATGCTCACCTGTTCAGGACAGCCCCCATTCTAACACCCACAGGGTCACCTGTGCCCATGGAAAACTCCACAAGCTGAGAAATACCCAGGGATCCCTGCTCCAGACTGGCCAGGAGCTGACAGCTCTGCTTGATCATGACCATCGAGCTGGTTTGATAATTAACTGTGCAATTGCCTTCCAAGGTAGCAACTGCTATTTCAAATACTCAAGGGGAAAAAAAAAACCCACAGAAAAACCCAAAAGCATTTAAACAAAACATTCAGAGCCCATCTATACACTCTGGTGCACAGACTGTGCAGAAACACACATTTTTCAAGCCTGAATAGCACAGCATAACTAAAGGACATAGGCCTCACTCACAGAAAATCAAATATTTATTTCCATACTGTTATCAAGAAGACATTCAATAGGAGAGGTCATAATCTCTTTTAAGGACATAATTTGCATCCAAAATTATCTTTAGCAACTGAAGGGGTAATTTAGAAACACTGGCAGGAAATTCAGCAGTTGAGCAGCGTGGTCTGTACACGAGCAAGGAAAAGCCAAGTGCATCATTAGAGCACAGCAGCAGCACTGCTGGAGGAGAGGTCAGAGGGCCAAAGCCACCAATGTCACACTGCTCAAGTCAAGCACCGTGTCACAAATCATAACCACAAGTCCCAGGGAGAGAAGAGTGCTGACTGTAATGCTGACATGCAGGGGAGGCACTTGAAGTTAAACACAGACAAACAGGAGGGGAAGTCCCAGATGAGTGCAGCAACAAAGATCAAAACCTGGAATGTATGGCCTACAAGGACACATAAAGACATCAAAACTTCAGCTTAGCCTAGAAACAGGGACTGGGAAGGCAGTGACATGCTAACAACCCTCACTTATATAAAAGATTGTTATAAAGAGGATGGGAAATTTTATTTTTTTCTCCTCTTTCTCTCTTTTCTCAGAAGGTAGGTTAAAAACTGGCTTAATTCAGAGCAAGAGATTCTTAGACTCATGCAAGAAAAGGCTTCATAAGACAGCTAAGAATGGCACAGGACGCCCTGCAGAGGCTCCTTTCTAGGCAAGCACTGGTGCTGGGAACTGGCACAAAGCAGCACCATGGCCCAGCTCCTGAGAACACAGACATGGCAGGGACATGGACAGGATAACAACCTGCAAAGAGAGAAAGCAAAGGCCTTTGGGGTTTGGGGTTCTTCTGTTTATGCCTTATTTTGTGACAGAATGTAAATGACAGAATTGTAAAGTAACATTAACATTCAGACAGTGTTCTCAGGCACGTGGTGGGATTTTTGGGCTGTCTTGTGCAGGGCCAGGAGTTGGACTCAGTGGATCCCTTCCAGCTGAGGATATTCTGTGATTACTGCAGTTCATGCCATGTTCTGTGCAAGAACCACCCCATCCATCAGATCAGCAAAGCAAAACACAAGTTTGGTACAAAGAGAAAACTACTGTCTTTTCCAGGCACACCTCATCCCCATACACCCCACTGCACACAGGAACAACCACCATCAGCAGAGAAACAAAAGAAAAAGGCAAATTCACCATCCAGCACACAATGAGTAGCTTAAAAAGATGCTGCTGGTCAGTTTTCAAGTATTTCTTTAGAACTTAACTCCAAGAATCAGGCTAACACTCTTAAACACGTCAAGGGCAAATGTTTTGGTGGATACACAAAAATAATTGCAGTTATATTTTCCCCCTGGGAGCCAGGCCTGTGCTAATGTTGATGCTTTCCAAAAAACCCTAAGATGGTAAACATGTAAAGCAAAAACCATTAGAGAACTAATGGAAATTGAAAGTACTCTTCCAGACAGGTGAGGCAATTTCACACTGCCCTTTGCCCTGCTTTTAATGTAGAAAAAGGCACATGGGCAATTAGCAGTCAGCTCAACTGATTCTCAAAATTCTGTAAACTCATAGAGCTAATGTGGTGTGCTAAAGAATTATTTCAGCAACACTGAATGGGCAAAAGTGGTAGAGAGAAGTGAGATGGATGGCATCGTTTGCACTCACTTGAGAAATCCTAAGATGCACAGAGAAAGGGTTATTGATTTTCTTATGATCATTCAACACAGTTCAAGGGGAAATCAGCAATGTCAACACACTATTTGGCTGGGGAAAAATGAAGTTGTTTTCAATATCAGCTGCCAGCAAATTTAGTTGTTCTCAAGACTGCAATAAAGCTTAGAGGCCCCCTTCTGAAAAGCCATTTAATTTTACAAAAATGTGCAACTGCTATGTTTAAAAACTGTTAAAAAACATGAAGATCAGACCTTTTCATTTGTGTTAACTATATGAAATTCTGCCATTCTGCCCTGCAATTCCTCAACTTAGCTGGGTGAGTCCCACTGAAGAAAATAGGAATGAAAGAGAACTGTGGAGTTTACCTCCTCAGGTCCTGACTGGAGGTCAGGTGGTGCCACAGTGACAAGCTGACCCTCCCAGATGTCCCAAACCCAGGCTGTCCCCTGATAACAATGCAAGGGGTAAAACAGAACTATAAATCTATAAAACTTTTCTGAACATATACACATGATATCTGTCTGTTAATTGTGAGAGTCAATCATCCCATTACTCATCTATCACAGAACTGTGAGAACATTCCTTACTTTACCAAGGCTTTTTTTTCCTTTCTCTCAAGTGCTGTTGAACAGATGGTTTGCAACATTTAACTTTGTGGGACTTCAGGGCCTTTGGGAGTAGCCAGCTATGTTAAAGTCAAGAAAAATGCACCCCTCAAAATCAGTTTGATTTGTTACCATCCACTGCCAGTAAACTGGTTCCAGTTGCTTCCATTCCAGAAAGGCTTCCAGCTGCGTGGTCTCAGACTCCAGGAGCTGCAACAGCTACAGGAGAGGAGACAAAAGAGAGGAAATCAGGTAACCTTGGCCTCTTGAGAACTGCATGAAATGTGTACTTAGCCTGAAAAAGGTATAAAAAGAGTGTGGGTGGTACATGGGACAACACTGGGTGGCTTTACAAGAACATTTTAAAAACGGATGGGGAAAGGTGAAGTAAAACACTTCTCCCAGTAGCACTGATTTATCCCTCACCCCAAATGTACCAACTTCATCAGCCTTTCCACACATAAATGTGAGTTTCCTATTGTTTTGAGGGAACAAAGAGACACAGTTCTGATAGACATGCTTAGTGTGTGACCAGCTTCAAACCTTCTACACTTCTTGATCGCCAAAATAAGCTGTTTCTCCAAAAGTATTTTTTCCTGTTCATCCCTTCACTCTGAAACAGCATGGAAGAACTCTCTGTAAAATGTTATGTATTTCATAAATTGTACCATCTGCTACATGAGGAATCCCTCCCTTTGTCTGAGAGCACTCAAAGGAGAGATGCTGCATTATAGGTACACAATTATAATTTTTTCACAAATATATGCATGATACGCATGTGTGCACACACATATACGGTGAAGGAGACATTCCAAGACTAAATATTTACATATCAGTAAAAAAAAAAAGCTCTTGTAAAGAATAATATGGTGAACAAATTTGCTGTAAGTCAGAGCTCACCAGCTTTAACAATTTTGGTCCTGACCATACTTTTGAAATGAACAATTTTAACACCAATCTGACACCAAGGGCAACTTCTTAAGATGACCACAAAGAGTGTAGGGCCTTGAGGAGAATGATAAAGACCAGACCAGTACCAGCTAAATCCATTTTATGGATTACATTTTATACAGACAACTATCTTCTACTAGCTTTGTTTGCTTTAGTTACCTAGTACATAACATAATTTAAGTAAGTACAAAGCATGAGTTGAGTTTGCAATTTTATTATGCAGATATTACTTGAAGATAATGGAACCAAAGAAAGGAAACCACTTTGCAAGAGTAACTGCTGGAAATTGTATGCAGTTTGCCCTAAAACACTGCTGGATCCAAAATACAATTATTACACATTTGCTCACACACCAGACACTTGGCATTACACTTAATGATTCTGCCAGTTTCAAGCTCAGCTGGGATATAAAAGGTGGAAGAATGGCTTTCTGTCTCCTTTTTTCTTTTCTCCTTTTTTTTTTCCATAGGTACATCTACAGCACAAATGGCTTACATTATGGAATCTGAGGCTTGCAAGAAAACCCAGCCAAAAAGTTGATTAAATATTCAGGCAACAGCGAAGTTACTTGACTTTAAAGTAGCTCTGTAATGTGGTCACGAGCTGTGTGTGATTGCAGTATGAATACTCTATTGCAGCTGAAGAGGGCTGAAGGTTGGGATGGGGAGTTTTTCATTCTGAGCCTTCAAAAAAAGAGTGATCTTAATAAAAACACAGTCATCATCTTTATTCTCACCAGAATGTTAGAAGCACCATATGCCACTTGCTTTCACAGCACAACTGAAAGGATATGGTTCTGAAACTTCACCAAACCTCTACAGGATCTGCTGCAGTTAACTGACCTTAACAACAATCAAAGCTTCCTGAGCAGTCTCCTAATCTCAAACCCTTCGGGATCTTTTGCATTTGGGTGCTGTTGTTGCCTTTCTTTTTAACTGCTTCATTAGTTATACAAAAGTCGACTCACCCATCTGACTAACCCACTTACAGCAAACTCACCTTTCACTCAGGTATTAACACCCTCAGAAACAGCAGGCCAGCACTGTGTGCTGGAAAGCTTGAGCCATAAATCAGTAATGGGATGACTCCAGCAGTCCTTGGAGGACAGTTTCCAGCAGAGCTGCAATACACCGTGGCAGCCTCAGGCAGGTCTGCAATAGCCAACATTTGAGTTTCCACCCTGAGGGACTTTAGGCACTGCTCCTGAATGCCAATATCCTCTGCCATCCTTTTTTTACAGGCCTTGCAAGGCTTTGATGTTATTGCAGCATGGAGAATAAAGCAGAACGCAATAAAAAAATAATGTACTACAAATATCCTTGAGATACCTTAGCAAAAATCACAAAAACAAATAAATGTTCGAGGTTGGGAAGGGACAATGGATTGTATGTCCATGTGCCCAGAATTTGGTCACAAAGACAGGGTCCACATGCCCCAGGGGTGACAGGCTTTCACTCAGACATGCCTACCCTTAGGAATGAACATTTCTGTCAGGCAGCTTCCTTCCCCCAAGCTCATCCTTTGCACGAGCTTCTCATGGGCATTTTGTGTTCTTTAACAAACTCTGCTTTCTGAGACTTTGAGGCCCCAACTGTCCATGTTTTCTTAGGTCACACATCCCAGAGCTGGCATTTCAGAAACCAAAGCCCAAACTGTGCCTCTGCATCTTGACCAAACACAGCACCACTCCTTGGTCATTTACCCCCCAAACACAGCACCACTCCTTGGTCATTTACCCCCCAAATACAGCACCATTCCTTGTTCATTTACCCCACAAACACAGCACCACTCCTTGGTCATTTACCCCCCCAAACACAGCACCACTCCTTGGTCATTTACCCCCCAAACACAGCACCACTCCTTGGTCATTTACCCCCCAAATACAGCACCATTCCTTGTTCATTTACCCCCCAACACAGCACCACTCCTTGGTCATTTACCCCACAAACACAGCACCACTTCTTGGTCATTTACCCCCCAAATACAGCACCATTCCTTGTTCATTTACCCCCCATTTACAGCATCACTTCTTGGTCATTTACCCCCCAACACAGCACCATTCCTTGTTCATTTACCCCACAAACACAGCACCACTTCTTGGTCATTTACCCCACAAACACAGCACCATTCCTTGTTCATTTACCCCCCATTTACAGCATCACTTCTTGGTCATTTACCCCCCAACACAGCACCATTCCTTGTTCATTTACCCCACAAACACAGCACCACTCCTTGTTCATTTACCCCACAAACACAGCACCATTCCTTGTTCATTTACCCCACAAACACAGCACCACTCCTTGGTCATTTACCCCCCAAACACAGCACCAGTCCTTGGTCATTTACCCCCTCAAACACAGCACCACTCCTTGTTCATTTACCCCCCAAACACAGCACCACTCCTTGGACATTTACCCCACAAACACAGCACCACTCCTTGGTCATTTACCCCCCAAACACAGCACCACTCCTTGGACATTTACCCCACAAACACAGCACCACTCCTTGGTCATTTACCCCCCAAACACAGCAGCACTTCTTGGACATTTACCCCACAAACACAGCACCACTCCTTGTTCATTTACCCCCCAAACACAGCACCACTCCTTGGTCATTTACCCCACAAACACAGCACCACTCCTTGTTCATTTACCCCCCAAACACAGCACCACTTCTTGGTTATTTACCCCCCCAAACACAGCATCACTTCTCGTTTATTTACCCCCCAACACAGCATCACTTCTAGTTCATTTACCCCCCCAATTACAGCACCACTTCTCATTAATTTACCCCCCCAATTACAGCACCACTTCTTGGTCATTTACCCCCCAAACACAGCATCACTTCTTGTTCACTTACACCCCAAACACAGCACCACTCCTTGTTCATTTACCCATGGTGGTTTACATCACCACTTCTTGGTCATTTACTACCTACAGGAGTTCACACACATGCCATGAGCAGTTCCACCTCTGATGCTACACCAACCTCTCAAAACATAAAACAAACACCCAAGCTGTAACTAAAGCTGCCAGCCCATTTTCAGTGAACTGAGGACCTGATGTCACACCTCCTAATGAAATTTAAAGACTGAAGCCTGTAGAAGAGCATCAATTTTGTTTCATGAAGAAAAGCAAAGCAGTGAGTCAAAAAAGTGCCTCATGTGGGTATCTAAGTGATGCTTAAGGATAATGCCTGAAAATTGTGTTTCCCTCTACACAAAATTAAGACAACCAAATCCATTTCCCTCATTCTTCTGGAGGAAGTCATTGCTCTAAAATATTTACACTGACTGAAAAAGTAACGACAAATTCAAATTGCTAATCTCTGTGGAGAGGCAATTCCATAATGAATGCTGAGAGCACAAGCTTTGCAGGAACAACTTCTTTGAGCCTTCGTAAAGAAACCACCCCTGGTGCAAGCAACAGCTTTGCTACAGAGGGTGAAGTGTGCCTGGCTGAGCTGGCTCAGAGCAGGCTGCCAGGAAACCCCAGTGTGATGCAGAAGGATGCTAACTCTGTGAAGAGCATGCCTTGCTTCCTCCAGCACGTGGCTGTGACCTCCAAAGCCAAACAAGCAGCTCTCAGCACAGATCACAGACCTCAGGAAACAGGGGGAGCTTCAGCAGCAGAAGGTGACAAGATGGCCAAGGTGGTTTTGGATACTCTGCACACAGCCCTCTAATGTGCTCCTTCCTTGAGCAGGGAAGTTGGACAAGCTACCTCCAGAGGTCCTTTCCAACCCTGCCCATCCCAAGAGGCCAAAGCTGAATCTTCCTCAGCATCCCCAAGTGTAATTCGTATGTTGTTTAAACATATTTGCAATTACTTCTTCTGTAGAGATATTAATCTCTTTCATATTATTTACCACCATATTAGAAAAATCATTAGTGCCTGTAGACTGTTATGGAAATCAATATTTCATAAATTTGCAGCATAATGCACCCTTTTCACAGGCTCAGTTCCAGAGAGCTCCCCGCAACAAGTATTTAATCTCTGATGCCCACAGCCCATAATTCAACATCCATAGCACTGGCAAAACTATTTTTAATCAAAAATTGCCCTGCCTAAATGTTCAGAAAATCATTTTATTGTTAGACAGACAAAAAAATGGTCTTTCAGCAATAAATTCTGTTTCTTGGCTCAGAGACAAAACACTGCTAATTCATCACTGTTCATATATGTCTGTAGACAGAAAATTTGCACTGGACTCCTGAGCCCTGCAAACCTCACCCAAATGCCAACACCTCTGGAGAATTACTCAAGGCT